ACTCCACGATGCACCGTACAATACCAATGCACTGCACATACAATCCAACGCGGTGCAGTACAACAACAACCACCGTTCCACCACTATTAACGATGACTCCCACATCAGTACATATGCGCAGGAGATCTCACCTAAGCTCACACAAGGCCACTCCCGCATGGAAAACAACACTCACCTAAGTACTGATCTAACCCCCTTCTGTATGACAAGGAACTCACTGGCATCACAGTTTGACTACTGTCAACCGTACATTTGTACACCCCACCACACTCACCGTAAGAATGTACGGAGCAGCCTACAATTGAACCTCGGAGACACATGCAAACACATGGTCAAACACCTTAAACACGATCACCCAATTGACATACATAAAGCCCTATCACTTCCCCTCCAGGCAGATACGGGAGCAAACATATCTGCAACTGACAATATATCACTCCTTCATAGCTATATACCTTATGAAAAACCAATGGATGTAGGCGTGTTCTGCGCTGACGATACATTGCAGTCAGTACTAACAGCACATGGTGAAGGGCACATTAAAATGATCTCAGACCAAGGAAATATCATGCGCTGGCAAGCCCTATACACACCGAACTCAGGAGGAACTGTAATTTCCCCAGATCACTACCAGCGGGCACACAATTTCTATGCGTTTCAACAGGAAGGACATGCGGACAGCAAAGGATCAGTCAACTTCACTAACAAGCATAATGCAACTATACAGTCTATTCAAACACTACTACGATCTAACAATGGCGAATGGTACACTCCAAACAAGGTCCTCATCGTTAATGAACTCGAAAATGAACAGCTGACAACGGAGATCCAAAGGTACAGTCACAGCATCAAGCGTCTGAACCACACTGAAATCAATGCCGCTAACGATTCACCATCATCTGAACCATGTACCAAACCATGGTCCTCGGGCCTATCGAAGGCACTAAAGAACTTAGAACTCTGGCACCAACGCTATGGCCACATCTCACCCACAACACTCCTAAAAACCCAACGTGTTGTGGAAGGAATCCCCAAACTTCCAGCATCCACACCATTCTTTAGATGTCCATTCTGCGAGAAAAGCAAGATGACCAAATACACTGGCAAAAGTGGAAAACGCACTAAGGAACAGTTTATCCCAGGACAATCATTCCACATGGATCTCTCATTTGTCAGCGGTCCTCCTAATCTCTCCGCCGTACTCCACGACAACGCAAAACCACTCCCAACCCTCAAGAAAAGCAGACATGGCCACATTGGATTCCTCACCATCGTGGATGCCGCAACACGATCACTTTGGACAATACCAGTTAAATCAAAAGATCCACCAATCAAGATCATAGAGCTCTTCCTCAACAAGCACGGTATACGAAAAACCGACCCTCGCAAGGCCATTACAACCACTACCGGAGGCTATCTTGCAAGGTCCAACGCATTCAGCACCACGATATCGCAACAGGAATACAAGTGTACACCGATCGACGAAGGATACTTTCTTCAACTACTCCCTGAACATCTTGATTGCACTGTCATGACAGATGGAGGTGGGGAACTATCCAAATCCAGAACATTTCAGACCACACTCACCAAACATGGTTATGATACGGTTACCACAGCTGCGGATGCCTCATCYCAAAATGGACTCGCTGAGCAACCACACCGGACACTAAAGGAGAGGATTCGTTGMCTCCTATATGCAGCTGGTCTTGGCACTGAATACTGGACCGATGCCCTGCTTCATGCTACATGGCTCTATAACAGAACATACCACAGTGCCATCGATATGACACCACTGCAGATGTACACAGGACAAGTACCTCTCATGGACAACCTCATCACCTTTGGAGCAAAAATCACGGCTAAACGCCCAGGAACCCGACCTAATACTACACACCCATGGACTTATGATGGCATCTTCCTTGGATATGGCAAGACCACCGACAACATCAAATACTTTGATATCCACACCAATACTGATAAAGTGGCTCGCCACGACTCCAAAGATGAGCTTCAATATGGAGATGATCCTGCCAACAGGTCCCCTGCTGCATCACACCTCTTAGAAGCATTCACTGAGAGTACTCACACTGACCGCTGCACCAAACGCCAACCCGAACCAGCATCGCTAACGATACTCCGCGACCCGCAACGAGTGAATCCATCGCATCTGGTGGAGGATATAATAAAGGACTCCCCCCCAAGTTACACGGCTGCTGCTGCTGCCAAAATCACTGCAAAAATATGCAGAACGAAGTTTGAAAGGCCTGATATAGAGGACCTGATCCCAGAACTGGAGACCCTAGACATCTCCACTAACATGTTCCTCCAGGAAGTCTCACACACGCTCCCGCTCCAGAACAGCAACAGCTTTCATCCCACTATGGGCTTCATCACCACTCCCCATCCAGATATCTCTCATGCAGTAGAACTGGTTACCATACAAGCTGGTACAACGGCACATACACATATCCGTGGCTGGAAAAGACGGCTGAGAGGTACTATCATTACTACAGTCGACGATACTACAGTCACCTGTAATCAAGACATTGTCAATGCAATCAATCACGCCAAGGCAAATCATCAAGCAACTGTTAAGTTCAAATTTGGTTCCCTAATAGGATTTGCTCTAAATGGAGAAGGCCTACCCACCCTACAGGCTGACCAACTAAATGTTATTGCTCATCACCTCCATTCACTCAACAATAATCAAGATCTCTGGAAGGACAAGACCAACTGGCCCAATCCTATTGACTCCCCTCAGCTTATTGATGAACAGGTCCGCATCGCCAAACTGACACGCACACGCTTACAGGGCACAGATAAATGGGATGGATTCCTTAAATCCGAGTGGAAACAGCTTAATAGATACCACCGAGTCGGCATGTTTGGGAACCCAGTGGAATCCACCAGCAATATGACTATTCTTCCTTGGGTATGGACATACTTAGAGAAAGAAAATCCGCTAACTGGCATCGATGAGCCCAAATCACGAGGCACATGTAATGGCGGCAAACATTATGGAAAAGCTGTCACCCTGGCAGAAACATAGGCTTCTTGTGTTGAACAACCTATCCACAGACTCACATGGGCCCTGGCCGCAGCACTTAACTTGAAATGCGTTGGCTACGATGTAGGGAATGCCTTTGCTGAAGCCCCACCTCCAAAGAGTCCCTTCTATATGACAGTTGATGCACCCTTCAACCAATGGTGGACCGAATGCTTACATAAGGACCCCATTCCTACAGGCTATGTGATACCTATCCAAAAAGCCCTACAGGGACACCCTGAAGCACCACGACTATGGGATAAGTACATATCCAAGTTACTTATCACTGAACTGGGATTCAAACCCACGACACACGAGCCCTGCCTTTACTATAAACATGATGATAATGGCCTCACTCTTATCCTACGCCAAGTGGATGATTTTCTCATTGCTAATCAACATGAAACAGTATGCGATCAAATAAGAGACAGTATCCAGCAAAKAATGTCCAACCCACTTAATGTTCTGGGCACTATACGGAAATTCAACGGAATACATGTGGAACAAACCAGAGACTATAACCACCTTCATTGCGCTAAATACATTGAAAAGATATGTGCCCATCACGGCTGGAATCTAGATACCTCAAAGATTCGTAAACGCCCAACACCTATCAAAGAGGACTCACAGTATCAAAAACTCCTCCAGACTACACAGGGACCAACTGATCCGCTTGAAGCTGCAAAACTGGAACGAACAATGGGCTTCAGCTACAGGCAATGTATAGGGGAATTGATCTATGCCCTTACAATATGCCGTATCGATATATCCGTTGCTGTGATAACCCTGAGCCAACACTCCCACTGTCCGGCCAAAATTCACTATAAGGCACTACAACAGGTATTCCTGTATCTATTGGCTACCAAACTAGAGGGCCTCACATACTGGAGACCTGCTCCTCGAAATGACTTACCAACTAAACCACACCCAATCCCCATATCGAAATCCACATCCCTTGAAAAATTCCACCAAGTACATCATCCCCTCAATATTCATGGTGCGTGTGATACCACTTGGGCCTCTGACAGAGCCCAACGAAGATCAATGGGGGGAATCATTATGATGTTAGCAGGAGCTGCAGTATACTATCGCACACGCCTCCAACCAACAATAGCTCAAAGCTCAACTGAAGCCGAATTCACTAATATGGCTGATGCGGGCAAAGCTGCACTCTACTTAAGATGGATTATGAATGAACTGCAGCTGCCTCAAACCAAACCAACTCCAATCCTCGCTGATAATCACGGTGCTGTTAAAATGGCAAATGCACAACAACCTACTCGAAGAACCAGACACGTTGAAATGAAACACTTTGTTATCCTCCAATGGTGGACTGATGATGAACACATTAACTTCATTCGAACCCGCTCCGATGAAAACTATAGTGACTCCCTGAGCAAACCAACCGGCCGCACCAAGTTCTATGAACATACAGACATCTTCATGGGACGACTCAAACCGGAATATTCTTTATTAACCACTACACATGCCCCAATTAGTGAGGCTATCACACCTATAATTCACATTATGATGTCCTCCACTTGCAGCAATCTAAATCCTCTTCAAGATCTGATTGATGACTCAATCGACTCAATCGACTCTTTAGATTCTGCAAGTGCGGGGAGGTGTGAGACAGTACACTTACACGAGACAGTACACATTCACGAGTAGATAGTGAATAACCTCACTCTTTATTGTAAACCACGTATTCACGTACACTAAGGAGCCTATCAACATTTCACAACTATTGATCAATTTTTGCCATCTACCCACCGCAATAAAAATTGAATCTCGGAATCGCAAACATCCGCTCGTTTGCCGAAGAGGTCATGGATTGATTTGTGGACTAGAATATGCGCTTCATACGAAAAGAATGCTAAAGCGAAAAGAAGGACGAAAATAGAATGTGCATTAAATATTTGAAGACCAAAATACTAATAATTCGAGCTTATTTCTGCGTGTGTCTCTCAGATCGCAAAACGACGTAGCATGATACCTGGAACAATCTGCACGAAATACACTCATTTTAGAGCGATATAAATTCCATAGTCACCAATGTGTGCTTCTTTTTTGAACCATTCTTTCTCATTTTATCTCGTCCTTTCGAACATCCGCGGCATTTGCATCATTCCTCACATGGTCATTGAATCAGGCAATAATCATTTCCCATTTTTAATTCAGTAGTAAATCTACACACAACTAAGCAGTAAATTGTATCATGAACAAACAAATTGCATCTGCATTCGTTCTTGATGCACGGCACATTGCTTATCGAGGAGGATTCTCCTCGTAATATTCCGCGATTTCTCTAGCTTCGGGGTCGCCCACACCAAACTTGTAGACGGCAGCGGCGATGAACCCAAGGACAGTGCCGTGGACAGCGGCGTGGGTGAAGCCTTCCAAGGGAGCCAATCGAGCGTAGTAGCCTCGGATGCCGGAAGCGGGAACGCGAGCTACCGGTCCTGGACCGAATAGCCTTTTGTTGTAGTTGACGATTCTTGATGCTGCTCCCGACATGGTACAGAGTAATTTGACTGTGCCCGAAAAGCAGAATGCCGGTATTTTGTATGGAATACAAATAGTGGACGAAAGGAACATTGAAACTGGATTAGTGACACAAAAAGCTCAAAAATTTGACTCGATCGACTATATTGTGAAGCGATCGCTGATACCCAACGTCGTTGAAGCGGCAATCGCACCATCTGTTGAAGGTAAAGAGGATTAACATGGCGATACCAGTCCTATATTTGCAGTATGTTGCTTGAAAATAAGTATCTTAATGTGATTGTGTCACCGCCCTTCTGAATGAATCCCGTACCGAAGACGCAACTTACCTAGTTGCTGTGATGTGTAAGAAACCAATCGCTGTCGACAGGCGTTGTGTTGCCGATGGTGGTTTTCTCTGCGAGCTAAGCTGAAGTTCTCTAACGAGCTTTTTGCGGTGTGTCTTTCGTCCCTATTGTTTTTGAACAGTACACGCGCGTTGAACGAAATCGTCGCGTGCGGTTTACTTCCGGGTTTCTTTCAAAAAGGCGAAGGACTCCATTCCGATCGTTCAAATCAAATCGCGCGAAGATTGCGCTTTACCGTACGGTATGTGCCGTACTGTACTCGAACGAGAATGCGCTGGAAAGAAAAGCGTTCTTTCGCACGACACACCTTCCTCGTGCATCGATAGTACGAGTTACCGTAGCCATTGCGAGGTTGATGCAGTTGCTGGGTCGCCTGCTGTGTCTTGATGGATAATATCCAACGAATGAACTCTTCATGACACAAAGTTCTTCAGCATCAAACAATCACCATCAATATCAGTGTGAGCTAAGAAGCATTATCCACGATACCCTACCAAAATTAATTCGGGACAAAAGATCAGAAAAGCACCAACTAGATTAAAATGATAAGCATTCGATCTGTATTTCGCCCGAAATTGCATCCCGTTGTACATCGCGCTTTTCAACAGAATGGGGTGCGCTCCATGACCGTCCTAAGCAAAAGCAGTGGAGAGGAATACAAGAAGCAGGTGCGTCTATCAGTTGATTTGGGACGATTATCATTCTACAGAGCTGGTTGAATGAAAGAAGTTGTGGCGGAGATGACGAAGACCCGATGCACAAGTCGCTGTAACTTTAGGTCAATCGAAGCAGTTCTCAACTTTAATTTGCGTGAGGACAATGGGAATGATGGACAAAATATGGATCGCTGAGTTGAGCCAATCGATCTGTCGTGTTGAAGAAGTTTAATGAATTTTCAATCTAAAAAACTCATGTCATTCTCTCTTGAATTTCATGTTGAACTGAACATTCCTTTGCATTCTAGAATTACACGGAACGGATGCAGAAAACGGGTCGTCCCGTGTCACCGCACGTGACGATCTACGCGTTGCCCGTTCCAGCCTTTGCGTCTATTACCACCCGTGTCACCGGTATTATGCTTTCCTTTGGGGCCTTTGGGGTTGGTGCGATTGATTTGATGGGCGGTCCCGGCGCATCCTTGTCTCTGATGGAATCGATCGGCTCGTCGGGATTCCTGGTAGCTTCACCCGCTAAGTTTGCCGTGGCTTTCCCTCTTGTCTACCATTACCTGGGAGCCGTCCKCCATTTTGTCTGGGATTACTTCCCCGATAAATACCTTAACAACGAAGATGTTCAAAAATCATCAATAGCACTTATTGGATCGGCTGGATTGATAAGTTTGGGCTTCGTGTTTGTGTAAGCAGTCGGTAATGAACTGTACGGTTGGTATAGACTGCAATGTCATTCTCGACATTCGAGACAAAAAGCCGAATTTCTTACTGTAATTACTATTAACGAGTAATATCTTGCACAGAAATATGCGTTGAGGTACGCCGAAAATGAGAATTTCGGATTAATGCGGTTGGAATATTTGTTGAGATCACCAACTCTACTCAATGAAATAATTTAAGTACCCGATCATCTTCACTAATTCATAAGTCGAAACTCAATTGACCTAAATCGTGATACGCAGTATTATCTACAATAATTATAGTTTTCTGAGCTACAAGAGGAAAATCGACAACTCTAATCTCTAAGAGCTCCTCCTCTTCTCATGCCAATAGCAGGTGCTTGTCGCACAAGAGGCGTTTCGTCTTCGTCGTCAGTGGGAACGTTCGTCTGAACAGTCCTTCCGATTGCGGTGAACAATTCGTCGTCTTCGATTCCCATGGTCTCGAGGGCGAGTTGCAGATCAGTCGGCGTGATTGCTTCGACGACCTTCGCGAAGTCAGTGAAGGAAAGGGGACCCTTGAGAGGAACCGATTCTTCCTGGATGCCGGACATGAGCTGCGCCCAGTAAGCGGTTGTCCGCAGCTCAAAGTCGTGACGATTGAGCACAACACGCTTCGCCGACTCAACATTGTCAGGCGTGATTCTCTGGCCCTTTTTCAGGTTGAAGAGGGTCTCCTTGCACGCCTGAAGGGCCTTCGCAGCATTCTCCTTGGAAGCCGTTACAGTGACAAGGAAGAATCCTCCTAGTAGCCGTTCAAAACCAGTGAATGAGAAGTTGGCATCATACGTAAGTTGCTTACGTTCGCGGACGTAGCTAAATAGACGGCGGTTAGCAATTTCAGAGAGGAGTAACAATGCCACGTGTCCGAATAGCGGGTGTTTACGTCGCTGTCGGTCGTAATCTGTTGCTCGCTTGTCTTGAGACATAATGTAATCTGCCATAGAAGTGCCATCGGACAAATAACCCCATGCATTTGGTGCAGAACCGGCAACATATGCGACTGCACGGGGATCAGAATCAGCAAGTTCTAGTTCCAAGAACTTGCCCGGTTTGGGGAGGGCAGGGACGCTTCCCACAGCTGCTCCCTGTTCGAGTCCTACATCTTCCTTCAAAAACTCGCTGTTGGCATCTGCAGGGATAGTTCCAATATACTTGTAGATCATTTCCAATACTTCAGTGACGTCAAAGTCACCGGAAGCAGAAATTTCAAGATTGGAGGGTGACATCTGAGACATGACCGCATTTTTGGCATCCGCCAAGGAAATGTCATTTACTGCATCCACATCGATAGAAAGGAAACTATGGCACAGATCCAAAACAAGTGGCAATATATGAATGTGTGCGTGTGCGTGTGTCAGACGAGATGCGTGACAATAAGGTAATGCAAAAACAAGAAGAGCAGAAACACAAACTATTTTGTCTGTACGTACCGATCATCATTGTCTGTCATGGCTTCCATGATTCTTTCTGTGCTGAAATTCTCGAGATTCTTCAAGAGACTTTCGTGCGTCGTGCGGAAACTTGATTTGGCCCGTCCCAAAGCATCATCTTCCCACTTGAAGCCGACAATGATTTCTCGAACAATTTGCAAAACGGATTCGGTCCCCGTAATACCGAGCTGTACGTCATCTCCGAATCCAACATTTCCAACATTGTTTGTGGGGAACACGAAATCGACAGTAATAGATTCCTCACTACAGTTGATCTCGACCATGAGTAAGTGGTCAACACAAAATAGTTCAACTTGCTCTCGAGTCCAAGGTCCAAAGGCACCTCCCTCTTGCATGGTTCGAGCACCGATCGACATTGATCCCTTTTTGAAGCCTAATCGCTTCTCCGCATCTCTACCACCAGGAGCTACTAGGCGAAGATGACCTCTTTGAGATTCGTGCGAATTGTAAGAAACACCAACACGGATTCCATTGCCGAGTCGTCGAAGCGTAAACGGACGTGTGATGGTATCTGGGGCAGTGTTGGGAGTTCCATCACTGAATTGTCCTCCCAACCAAACAGGTGGATTTTCCTCCATCGCTTGAGCCAATTTATCTTCGGGCAGCAGAGTGAAAGGAACAACAACGTCTTCCTCAGGTTCAACATCAATTTGGCAAGCATCGTAAATTGCTTGGACCAAACTATGCTCGTCACAGTATGCCGGATCGTCCTCGCTAACGCCCTTGGGTGTACAAGCAACAGCGATGACGGGACCAGAGAGTGGTAGTTCCCCGTCCTTCAGAGCAGTTACATGCGAGCAAAGTTCTGCAGCCGCAGCGTTGACATCTTCAATCGTAAGAGATGACAACGCCTTCGCAGTCATGTGGTATGATTGCTCAGGAGACATGAATGTATGCCCGTTGGCGACGGTTTCCATTAGATAAGAAAGTTGGTCTCCATGGCTGATGCGATCCCCTTGCGCTGCCAATTGTTCACCATCTGTCATTAGGGACGATGCATACCTTTCCATTTCCCCCATTGTTACACCATGAACGCCAAGTTTGCGGATCTCCGACAGGGATTTGTGAATGGCTTCCTTCCATTTGTGTGGTTCGGCAGTCATGTCAAGACTGCACACAGCGCAACCTTCGCGAGCAGAATCGAGCTGGTTGAATTCAACGAATGTGAAGGCAGGGTCATCGCTTCTTCCTCCAACGTTCAGACGAATTTGAAGTGCTGCGAGCGCCACCCTTCGTGCAAGACTCTTGCGAAAAGAATCAATGTCGACGATCGGTTCGACCGGTCTCTTGCTGAAGAAATGGAGGGAAAATGACTGCAAAAGTTCATGACTGATGAATTTTCGAACGCCAAAAAATAAATGTGAGAAGCTCGTCCATCAAATACTCTTGTCATGACATTAATATATCTGCATAACAGACTCACCGGAAAATGTGGGGACGGATTTGTTTTCCCGGAGCCACCTCCTCTGATTCCAAGAAATTCGTTTTCTCATCCAATGGATACGACTCCTGGAGCTGCAAATCATATTCCAAACTATTGGCTGGGATAATCAATTCGGGAGGGACCTCCTGGTCAATTGGTGCGCACCAATCGTGTCGCACCGGTGGGTAATGCCAACTCTGTGCTGCCTTAACGGATCCTTCAACCACGGCCTCGGATAGATCGCTTGCCATTTCCTTGATTTCTTCCAATCGAATCTCTGATCCTTGCTTTTCTGCGGAAAGTCGTCCAAATTTTTGGGCAATAACCTTTTCGGCCTCGTCGGGGTTGATGTCTCCTACCAAATACAAGAGAACGTTGTCGGGTCGATAGTGCTGTCGATGCCAAGACTTAACATCGTCGGTATTCCAAGAACGAATCAGGGATTCTTTACCAATTGGGAACCGCTTGGCAAGGCGATTTTCGCGATGGAGCGTTGACAAAATCTGGCATTCCACTCGGTATTCTATGGTGTTGACCATGGTCATTTCCGACAAAACAGCGGCTCGTTCCTTTTCCAATCGCGATCCCTCGGTTCGTGCCTCCATAACATCCACTAGAGCATCCAACGCCATGGGAAGCATAGGCATGTCGCCACGAGGTGTTTTGACGGGGCAGACTGCATAAAATACGGTATGATGAAAATCAGTATAGGCTGTTGCAAATCGTGCAAACGGTCGATATTCGAAATAAAAATTGATTTGATTCATCCCAGCGTTGTGGGTTGTTGTGTCATATTACATTGCCATGGCGCGAACGAGAACACAAGAAAAATAGGAATGAAATGCGGGCGTTATTTGTTAGAATCCGGTCCGATGAGAGCACATGAATAACAATTTTTTTGCAGTTATACAGCAACACAAACCTACTAAATGAAACAGGAAATCAGAGAGGGATCAATTTGATCCAACACGTACCATTGGTTTGCGACCCCGTTCCAAAGAGCAATTCACGTTTTCTAGACCCCATGTAGGCTACGTGCTCCGTGAGATGGGCGATTCCTTGTTGCGGTTCAAGCTCGTCAGCTATTGAAAAGAAAATTATTTTGGGATGGCAAAGGATAAGATGAGTTTTGGCAAGAAGTTCAGTTCAAAAATTTATCAGCCTCTGAAAACATGAAAACAATAGCTTTCAGCTTTTGTTCTTGAAGGCCATCGAGATACAGAGTAATACCGATAGCGTTTCTCTTAATCACAGGCCGTTCCGGCATGACAACGTACCCGAACCGGAGAAAACCTGCAAGTGAGCCTCGAAGCGTCCTGGTGGACTTTTGTTGGGCAAGATAACATAGGGGAGTCCATTTGGAAGCGTTCCACTGCGAACATCGGGATGTACGGGGAGAGGATCCGAAGAAGGTTTTTCCTGCGGGTCCGGTCCCAATAAATTCAGGGGAGAAATGTGGGGCCGTACACTCGGGTGCGGTGGCAGCTTGCCCCGAAGAGCCGTCGTTCCATCGTTGCTTTCGCCGCTTCCGTTGAACATATTGCTGAAAAAGTTCCCCTTCTTATCATCTTTTTCGTTCAATATCGTTGCTTGCGATCCTTGCACTGAAGGCTGCTGCTGGATGCTGATCGCTCGCTGGGACGGTGTGGTAAACGCAGAAACGGATGCCGTCGTGAAGCATAGTGCTGCGACAAAGGAGATACCAGCCGCCGAGATCCTCATGGTTGCGATATAAGCTGTCCTGTGGCAGTAGCTTTTAAAATTGTTGTGTTGGTTTTATCTTTAGCAGTCCAACCGACTAACTACAACAACTATATCCTAAACAGGGATAACAGATTTCTACAGGGTACAGATTTCAAAATGGTGCTCCCTCCTACGTACTAAGGAAGGTACAATATTCGTACTCACGAAGATGATTACTTTCTGTTGCTTCCTTGAACTACTGTACCACCCTTTCTACAGTTCTCTCGGGACTACAGAAACGTACCGTACGGAGCAGTACGACATTGCCATTCAAAAACGAATTCAAAACTTTACATCATCGAAAAAGCACAGGCACGAGAGAAGAGCGTAATCTTCATCTCTAACGATGTGGGCTCGTTTTGTTCGTTTACCACTTCACTCGCTTGCTTGGTCTGGCTGGGCTGTGTGCTAACTCACGCATGTTGTTCCAGGCTCATAACCCGATATCGCAAGACTTTCTCTGTAGAAAGTTTCGACAGCAATCCGGAAGGATTGGGATTTGGTTCCTCGTGGAAGAATTTTTACGACTAACCATCCATTGGAAAGGTATTGTACCATACGGTTCGTACCTTACGTACGAACGCATTCATTTTCAATATTGTAATGTACGGTATTCAGAACACGAAGAAAACCTCAAATACAGTACGTTCTCGCACGTACTCGTAACATATTCGAATCGGGATGTATTATGGTACATGGCCTACGTGAACAAGAATTGATTTTAGATGAAAAGAGGACGATCGATGCTTTCGTCCCGGAAAGCATACAGTGGGCTAAAAGGAAAGCTTGTAGTCGACTTCCGTTCAACCACCGCCGGGAGTTCAATCTTCCATATGCGGTCCATGGAAAAAAGAATAAATTACGTTCGAAAAAGAAATCGACTGATTCAATGCGCAAAGAAGCTCTATAATGTTTTACTTGAAAATGGGCGCAAAATTTTGCGTAAATAAAACCAAAACAAGTTGTTTTGATCCGAGATTGAGAACTATCCATTGTAAGATGGAAATATAAATGTTGCTGTTCCACTTGGAATTAATGGAATATAAGCGCTCCAGTCTAGTCTCAACGCAGACTCGCGGCAAGATCTCCACGGAAGGACGACAATTTGCGGCTGCTGAGCTTGCGGCTTTCGAATTGCTTGTCGAGCATCATTTCTTCTTCCACGGCCTTGTATTCCTCGCTAAAGTTGAAACCGAATGAATACCATTCTCCCTTCAAGGAAATCGATCCCGCATTGGGCGCGTTGTAGATAGCGGTTCCGTACAACAATACGATCATGCCACCCACCTGGACCCAGCTGAAGATAGTCCACTCTTCTCCCAGAGTTGGTGTGAGACAGTAGAAAATCACCAAGTCCGTCACCCACACGGTGATTGGTCGGAAGTTGTCCAGAATGGCATGCCAGACAGAATTGAGCAAGAAGGTGACCATGACGGCAAAGAAGTTGTAAAAGAAAATCGAGAAAAAGTAAACCCAGAAGGCAATCTGAATGGTCGGCGAGTTGTTGAGCATGTACCATGTGTTGAACGGGTCTTCATACGATCCGTGGTCGTCTCCCGGTAGATAGTAGACAAGCGGATACGCAACGGTCACACAAAAGATAGTACCCCAAAGTCCTTCCATACCGATTAGAAGCAGGGGAGGTGCCGGAATATCCATGGTCAATACCTTTTCTTCGAAAACATATTGAAGCGCTTGCACGAACGCACCGAACAATACCAAAATGATTCCAACAAGTGCTGATCCATCGCTATCTGATGCAGCAGATTCCGACGAATCGACGTCACCTCCACCCTCTGCCAAAATTGCCGTAGATCCGACCATCAAGACACTGACGACATTCCAACCAATCCCGATCCATTGAAACGAATGCAATCTATCGTGGAGACAGGTTTGCTTCATTACGGCCACAAAAATGATACCTGATTGTTTGAACGAGCAAACGAAAGTAGACATGCGACATCGCAAGCATGGAATCGACAACCGAATCAAAATCGTGGATAAGCATGATATCTTCCAGTCTAAGAATCACGCAATATGCATATTTTAAAGACATCGTTGATTGACTTACCTGATCCCCGAAGTAATTGATAGATACTAACAGAAATATACCTCAATCCCATCATACATAGGGCGGTCGCAGCCAGGTCGAAGATGGCTGGAATGGCCAAAAAGAAGTACATCCAAGTAGGAGTTGTTGTGGCAGCATTTTCACCTTTGGATTTCTGGAGGAGCCCACTTTTTTCACCTCGTTCTTCGTCGTCAGGAGATTCTTGCGAAGCGCCATCGTGAACGTATCCGGGAAATGGGATTTTCAAGGCCATAACGACGAAATGCATGAGAAGGGCAAACGTCATTCCCAAGAACATACCGAATGTTTGAAAAATTGGTTTCTCAAAAACTTCGATGTCACCGTCGATTCCTTTGCCGTGAAGACCCATCATGTTTTTTGACATGATTGAACACATCGTCCCGAAGACGAGAGCCGAAATGAAAACTAGCAGTTCAGTTAGACCGCATGATTTGGGTCCGTCGCCGCCGCCTCCGCTCATAGTGATATCTTGTTTCTTGCGTCTTTGTGAAGGAAATGAGTTTTTAGGGTGATGGCATAAATTCGTGAGAGAAGTTTGTGGTTTGCTGATCACAAGTGTCGCCAACAGCCAACAATACTCCATTCACAGAAGACTGGTCCAGACTAACGACTGCATGAAAGTACAATCAAGGTCGAGATTCAAATCTACCGGAAATAATGAAAATGTCGGAGTGTCAGACCCTCGGACTCCCAATCGTACGACCCTGTTCTTTGTATTTACGTACTCGCTTCGGTTGGGATTATCCACGTGGGTATCGTAACAGCTGTTCAAGCCTCCTCCGATGCGATGTAACTTATGAAAGAAGGTTCGCCAATGAGGATACCAGAAACAGGGGACATAATTTTAGATGGTTGTGCAACGCGCACGTTTTTCAGCATCGGGCGGGACCAAAACAATCCTACTGTATTCCATCCGTGGTACGATACTACCATACCAACAAGAAAAATTTCCAATTAACATTTTTTTCAATTTTATTTTTACTGCATGATAATGGGTCAGTCCTGTTAATCTAGTCTAAACAGTCTACTTTAGACTTTTTAGTTTAATGGGAATCATTAAAAGCAAGGCCCCAATGGATGTTTTAGGGGATCTTCTAGTCTTGTAGGAATTTGAAATCTCAAAAGAAACAACTAGTAGTACTAGTAAGACTGGTGGAAAAGCACCCCTGCTGCTGCCCTTTTATTTCTTAGGTAGTAGTACTAATACTAGTAATGAGTTATTCAACAGATTTTTTGGGGCAATAATGAGTCATTCAAAGGATTTTCATTCTTGGATTCCAGTCCAGATTTAGACTTTCTGTCAAGCGTGAGTCCAGTGTTGACAGAAAGTCTAAAAATTTTGGACTAGATGGTCTATTTTTGGTCTGTCTGTATGTCAAAAAGTAGACCATCTAGATTAACAGGAATCGCCCAATGCTATTTAAACTATTCAACTTTTGAGAAGTCATAATTTCATCAAAAATACTACTATTATAATTTTAAGCTATTGCACCTCTACGAGTTTTTTGTGAGAATTCTGAATAAACTATTTTCTTTGACGTCACACAAAGCACTTTCATCCCGGTAATATTTTCTCGCAACACACGAACAAAATTTTCYTCCCTATTTTGTCGCGCGTTTCAGCAAATTTCTCCCCCCACTATGCGCGCAACAATGTCGCATGCCCTACATTCCCTACCCTAGGTAGCTAGGGCTGTTTCATCCTAGTTTTGATATTTCCCAATTTCGGTTCAATAATCTGATCTTTCTATTGAAACTTTTGTTGTTGGTTATATAATTTTCTTGCCCTCATTATTGATTTTCATGTAA